GACAAGTATTTGAGACAACATTTTAAGGACGCTGCAACCAAAGCAGGGCACCCAGAATGGGACATCCCAGATGATGCAGGAACATATAATGACACCCCTGAGAAAACAGGATTTTTTGGATCAAATGGGACTTACCAGACAGAAAAGGGGAAGTTTTTCTTAACATGGTACTCTAACAAGCTATTAGACCATGGGGATCAGATACTTGAGGAAGCCAACAAAGCCTTCTTGGGATGCAAAGTCAAGCTCGCTGCTAAGGTACGTGTTATCAGCATAAGATTAATATGAATGGACGTGGAAGTACTTACGATATTCCGGAATATAAAGTTCAATGAGAGTCATAACTATCATCATAGAAAAGTACTATTAGTAACAGACTATGAATGTCGTGGTAACCTTTTTTGTCTCGGTATCTGTTGTGGACGGACTTCTGGTCTTATTTCGTGCTGTGTTTAACAGAACTCCGATTTTCTGCATAAACAGGTTTCTGGAATTCACTGGTGGTACAAAGATGAGAGTCATGCTTGTGAGCTAACATCAGGGTATTATAACCTAACTGGCAGGGATGGATACCGGCCAATAGCAAGGATGTTGTCTAGGCATTATGGAACCTTAAATTTTACATGTCTTGAAATGAGAGACACCGAACAGCCGGCAGAAGCTAAAAGTGGACCTCAAGAACTTGTACAACAGGTTGAACTGTCCAATTTTCCATTACAAGTTCTTGAAAATATAAAAATTGCTACTTTTTAATATGTTATTGGGTACCTTCGGTAGTAGTTACAACTTGTGAACTGTAGATATGCAAAATATGTTGTGTCACAGTGTATCGTCTACCATATAGATCTATAATTCATATTGTGTCTGAATCATATAAATCCAACATCGGCTGTGTAAGTAAAAATGTCTCTTGTCTCGTATTGCGTCATGTTTCGTATGATTTTATTTAACACAATAAGATGTAAATTTTTGCAATTTTTGCACCAAATTTATGCAGGTTTTGAGTGATGGATGGATAGAAAATATTGACGTGGCTGGCGAAAATGCACTTTCAAGATACGATCCTGCAGGTTACAATCAAATCCTTCTGAATGCAAGGCCAAATGGTGTCAACAAAAATGGTCCTCCAAAACTGAAAATGGCTGGAGTGACCTACCTTCGTCTATCAGATGAGCTACTAGAAGAGAAGAACTTCAGCATATTTAAAACATTTGTGAAGAAAATGCATGCTGATCAAGTAAGCATCCTTATACCGATGCTTTTAGGGGATAAATCTTGAAAAAAATTGCGTAACTTTCAATGTCATGTCCAACCAGACAAAATTGAACATGATTAAGGAAAAGAAGAATGTGACCAAATCCATCAATTAACTTGTGCAGTTCACTGCACTGTACCTGACATGATAACAAAAACTAATATAGCTAGAGCTAATCCTATTTTCGTATTCTTATTGCTGTCGGATTTTCACAGGATTACAGTCCAAAGGTCACTGATGTAGCTCCTCTGAAGCAATCGAAACCAAAGATTCCAATTGATGAACTTTTGGAAGCAACCAAACCAATCAAGCCATTCCCATGGGATGAAGAAACGGACATGAGTGTTGGGTAGCTGATTAACTACTTCAAACATAGGCATGTAATAAAGATCTTTCGAATGGTAATATGAAGCAATAAGTACTTGAGATGCTGAGTGTGTACTTTCTGAATAAAAAATCCAAATTTCCAACCTCCATTTGTACAGGGAAATTTGGTCTGCGTTTGTGTAGAATAAGAAGTTTAAATAAATAAATTTGCCATCTTCAATAAATTTTGTAATAATGTAAATACTTTAATATAGTAGATAAATGTCATGCATGTTCAAGTCTCACCGAAACGAATATATGAAAATTGTACATACATCAGATTTTTAATGAAAAACCAATTCAGTATGCTCATGAGAGAGCACGTTAAAGAGTAAATTGAAATTGTACTATTAATCTTTAATGTGTTGAAATATCCCACCATCCCATTTGACAATATCACCACACAGTTATGGTGTTTTTTGTATGATCACATTCCTAAGCAAAGTTGTATCCATCCACGTCTATGAAACCAATTGAGCAAGAAATAAATCCAGATTGTCTTGTCACTGGCACTCTAACAGTGGCCTTTCTGTCCACACTTATATGTATGGTCTTGTCTGTATGGTTCTAGAAGTGGGAGGTCCCAACTCTTACATGTTAGGTATTGTGCCTTGTTTAAATAGTTATGAAGGTGAATGACTTTATTATTAATATTATCAAACGTGACATGTATTTTATTCACTAATCTAGTGTCCATTTATTGTACAATTATAGTAGTAATATAATCAATTATCAATTATAGTGTCAAGAGACCGTTTCACAATTATGTTTGTGGAACTAATCTTTCGACATCAGATCATCATGAAATCATATGAGAGGATCGTCATGCTTTGATGGTGTTAGATGCCATTCTACTAAATGGTTAGTAATGTGACATTAATTGGATGCGACGTGAATCATATGTAGATTGATAGTATGAGATTATATCTAGTCATTCATAGACTTAAGTATATATACACTAATTCCTTGGTCAATGTAGAGTTGTGATTTGAAAATGAGTTTTCAAATATGAACACTCTTAAGTCAATTACTTGGAAGTTGACAAATAATACAATTGGTAAACTGATATTGACGCATTTCTTATTTTGTAACCAATTAAATAAATGGATTTTATTTCACATTAACAGGGCACAAAGGGACTTTGTCATACCACATGACTTCTTAGATGCGAAGTAAGGACGTTTAATACGAATTAATTTGTTAGTGCATTAATGAATATATTGATTAGATCAAGATAATAATTATATTATTTCCATCATGGATTAGAACCTAATGGATCACGCATAAGGATGAAGTTGGAAGAACGAAATGAGAAATTGATTAAATGACAAATATAAGATTTAACTAATTAAATAATAGGTCTAATTAATTAATGAAAAGTTTCACGGTTGACCTAAATAATTAATTATTTTCCACATAATTGTCCAACCTTTTTTATTTCTCAAAATAATGTTCAGTTCTTTTTGAACAGAAAGTGTTATATTTCGTGTAATACTTGCAATATGTGTAACGAATGATGTAACACATGTAACAAATTTTGTTATACGCATTCTATCATTGCTATCACCATCATTATAACACATTGTGTTACACCACCATCACGACCATTAACCGTCGCCACCATCAATTTGTTATATACCATGTTACAAGTATAACACAATCTTAACATACTTAGTTACCCATTACAATACAACCTCTTCCTCAAACACAAACCCACCATCACCACATGCAACTCCTCCCTCCTTCACATAAACATGTCTTTTAGAAGGAGACATGTCTTTTGAAACCCGTCCTATTTCAATATTTTTGTCTTTTCACACACAAGTTTTCTAGGGATGGCAATTGGAAGGGTATAGGATGAGTCAGCCATTCCTGTCTCTTGTTCCGTCGAATACTTTTGCTATTTTACCCCATTACATACCCAGTTAAAGCAGGATAAAGGGAGGGGGATTAGGGAACGATGAGGCAAGCCCCTTGCCCGGTTTATTATGCCCATTTATTTTATTTTTTTCTTCTTTTTTTTAAATATATCTTTAGTCGGTGAATATTATTACTTTCTTTTTTCAATTTGTTAAAAACAACTCATGTTCATTTTAAAAATGATTAATAATTTCTTTTTATTTAATAAAAAACTTAAATTTGAGATAAACTTTAAACGGACCAGATAGTGGGCCGAGGACCATATTTTCCGTACCCGCTTCAGGGCAATCACCCTCACCCCGTTTACTCGACTAGGTGGGTAATCTCCGCACCATTAAGGCAACGCCCCACAAATATCGAGTTGAACGAATTTATTTTGCCATCCCTAAACTTTTCAACTATTATTTCTAGGCCCACTCATTTGCATATTTTGTCATTTGATCCCTAGACTTATGTCTACATATTCACTTGAAAATATTTTCTACGTTTATTTCGAGTCCTGTTATCATACATAAAGAGAGTTATAAACATTATTTTGTTTACTAGTCTTAATAATTTGGAGTTCTCTTATCATAGGACACGATCGTTGTATTTTGAAAGATAAGTGTCAATGTACATTAGTACCTATACTGGGCATTATCATCTTAAGATAAGAGAGTCAAACTCTTGCCTTAATCATATATAATTTTATGCACTACATATATTTTTCCTATATATTTGTAAGTCGTTATTCTACTTATATCTAAATGCTAGCATAGGGGTGGAACAAGGATTAATGAGCCGAGGGTTGCAATTTTTATGAAAGAGGACTTTGACAAACGAGTGTCAATTAGTGTCAGTCTTAAGTCCACTGCTAAATTGTTTTCATGTCAATTTGTATTGCATAGTTGATCGCGAGTTCTTCAAAGCTATATCAGGATCTGATCGAGGAATATAGGCAGAAAATAAACCAAAAGTGATGATTGCCACGAATTAGATTTATTAAACTCATTTAGTTCAACCATTTTTTTTTATCGTTATTGAGGCTTCATCGTTTAGTGATTTTACAAATTAGAATGTACTTTACAAAATATGTCGTGAGTACTTCAAAACGTATCAAGAATATTTCCTAACGTTCAAACATTTTAATTCAAAATTGACCCAAGTAACTTGGTGGAGTATGGCAATTGTAAACTTTCTCCAATTTCATTTTTTAAGAGCTGGGATGGGCTTGGGCCAATCTGCCCCCCACCCGGATCTGCTCTGTGCTATTATTTAATAGGCAAGAATATTTATGCACAAAATTTATCAACAACCACTACAAAAGCACCGTTGCTTGCTTAAATCAACCATAAAAGGAAAAGACAGCCATAGATTAATTTTTTATTTTTGTATTCTGCGGGTCTTCACTCTAAATTTTTTTGGGATCCCTTCTTTCCCAACACTATAAATTCATGCAGTATCTCAACTCATTTCATCAATAACTAATAAATTTTCTTCAGAATAGCACAAGAAAATCCTCGTTCTTTACTATGGCAAGCATTGTAACCTTCAAACTCAGTAGTTTGCCAAAGAAAATGTCATTCCACAAACCTGCAGATTTACCGGGTACGACGCCTATTAACACCGAGCAGACAAGTGGGAATGGAGGATTCAAACAAAATATTCAGTTCAGTTCACGCAGATTAGTTAAAGGCCCTCAATCTGTCACAACTGATGCTCCTACAGAGGTGAGTAATTGAAAACCTTCGTCTTCCTTTTCTCCCTTATCATCGTATATTGTTCATGAGTACGCAGTAATGACCACAGCTGCACTCCGCATATTTTTTTTTGGATATTGATGATCCTTGGTGTCATGATCTCCTCCAGCAACAAGAATGTGGCAGAGAAACCTTAATGGAAATGAAATCAAGTCCATATATCTTGCATGGAAGATCAGGCTCTATTTGTACTTGCACATAGTTATTATATCATTGTCTAGAATACACCAAAAATCTTTCACCATCAATCTCTCCTTTCAAATTTCCGACTTAGTGGTCCACCCAGTATGCGCAAGACAAATATGATTACTTGTATTTATTTAAATAATTTTGGTTTATTTTCCAGTAACAAGCTTCCTATCAAGCATGGTAACACGTCCATGTCCGATATGTACCATGTCATTCACAAGCCACATGCCATTTTTTTTAAATTTCTGGTGCTTGGTGGATGCCAAGTATTCAAAATGCTATGTGTAGTCATGTTTTAAAAGGTATAAAGATACCGCATATAAATGAAAATTTTAAAGAATTTAAAATCAATTAGTCCTATAAGTGTTTGCATCCTACTTTATGAAAAATTACGTTTCGGTGAGTTTATGTAGTGTGTACATGTTGCCTCTCAACCCACCTCATTATGTGCAAGAAGAACACAACATTCACGAATAGGTGGCACTTGGATGCCAGATATTTTCTTGGACTAATATCATGTCAAAATCACTTAAGTGTTGAAGGACACAATTTTATACATTTTAATTTAATCTCCTATTACTGGGGCTGGCTGCAAGATTTTTCTTTGAGCTACTTAATAATTACTCACTTCTTTAAGAATGTTTATATCCTAATGTTAAATTATATGACCCACCTTTGCATTTATATCTACAATAAAAAAAGGACGCAATCTACGTGGAGTTATAGCATCTTCGATTTCATGCTCATAAAAGGAAAGTAATACTTTTTCATTTATCCTTGTCCCAGAAAATGGCTTCAAAATCTGGCAACACTGAGTTGTCAAATTACGTGCCACTTTATGTAATGCTTCAGGTAAGTATAAAAAAGTTCCATTAGCAAGCCTACTGTTGAGTACAATTGCAATTTACTGTACCAAACAAACCCGTAATTTACTCTTTTTCCTTTATTCTTTAACGACAGTTGGGAGTTGTTACGAGAGAAAATGAATTCCCCGACCAAGGAAAGCTGGAGAAGCAGCTCATAGAGCAAAAGTCTGCTGAAGTTGATGGAGTAATGGTAGATGTGTGGTGGGGAATTGTAGAGGCCAAAGGTCCCAAACAGTATGATTGGTCTTCCTACAGGAAATTGTTCCAACTTGTTCAAAATTGTGGATTAAAAATACAGGCTATAATGTCATTCCACCAGTGTGGAGGCAATATAGGAGATGCAGTGTACATTCCTATTCCACATTGGATACTTGCGATCGGAGAAAAAGATCCCGACATTTTCTACACTAACCGATCAGGTACCAGGAACCAAGAGTACCTCTCACTTGGTGTGGATAACCTGCCTCTCTT